TCCAGTTTCTTAAAAGCGTCCTCCCATGCTATACAGAAAGCTATACTAGCTTTCACAGCTCTACTACACATAGTGTCTGCTCGGGACACTATGGAAATATAGCTCAGACTCTTCTGCATCATGTTTTACTATGAGCAAGAGACCGCCTAATTCATGTGTTTTTGAAATGACATTTAGAGATTAGCTCCACCTATCTGGAATATGCCAGACATGTCACATGGCAGAAGTTGATGATGAAGGTGCTCGGGTCAGGGGTGTGTCTTGTCGCACCCTGTTTGTAGTGGACCAAAACAAGCTAATAAAAGTTAACCAGGTTAATTTTTATAGCTCTTTCTATTAGTTGAATGCAGAGTTTATCATTCAGGAGAAAGGTAGTATCATGATAGATGGAAACCAAACATTAAGCACAGACAGCACAAACAGAAGCCAAGCACAGGTCACTGGACAATCAAATCAGGCAACAGCAATGGTTTAAAAGGAGTGACTGGGGGCATAGTTCAACGCACAGGACGAACTAATTTGTTTGCAGAAAGTAGAATATTCTTTTGAATTTTACTATTTTTTTATTTTTTAAATCTAAAAAGGAGAGTTGAGGAGTCTTTTGAAACCTGTCAAAAATTCATTCCTCTTGTCACATTTGCTAGAGGTAGGTGGAGAACTCCTATCACAAATATTTGTGGTAGGTCACTCGGTGATAATCAGTATCTGATGTCTAGTGAGACAAAAACGATCAATATACAAAGAACAAAGCAGCTGTAAAACTAGGCCCAAACTGTGTCACTGGAAATGGTTATTAAACAAGGAATGCTTACGTCTAATAAGATAGGTGTTCTTGGCCTTGATTTCTTGGAAGGTTTCCCTATATGTCAGTATTGAACCAAGCATTTAGGAATAGCGTTAGGAATTTATATCCTGGGGATGCCATCTTTTAGACAAAATAAAATCAACATTCCAGCTAGTTCAGATTTGGTACTGCTTGTTCCAAAATTAAGTGACTTTATCTTCAGTCTTCAACAGATTCCAGATCCTGTCCACTCTCATAACTCAGTTCTCACTGCAGTTTCACTTACATCTTTAAATCTACATTACTGTCCAATTATATCATGTAAGAAAAAGCTACCACCGCTCTTGTGGCACTATATCTCTCTTATAGCACTGACTTTGCACGGAGTTGTATTTTGAAATGTCTTTACAAAGAAAGGCACTGTAGAACACAGTGTGTCCACTCTAAATATATTCCTGTAAAATGCCTTTTTACAAACCGCTGCTAAAAGGATCTACTAATTTCTTTTATCTGTTTTAAAATGTTTTATATTTATGAACAGATCAAATTTATGTGACCTGGGCTAGCATATTTTATTCAATGGAAAAACAAAGGAAGAATATTACCACTGTAATACACTAGTGAATGGAAATAAAACCCCTTTACAGGACTAGAATTTAGGACTGCTAAGAGGCAACCACATTTACTGGATCTAAACAGACACTTGTAGGAATAAACTGAACATATTGTCCTTCAATTTGTTTAATGTATACTTTCTACAAAACAAATATAACAGAGTACCTATTTTTCACCATTGATAGTAACTTAAATAGCAAAATATCAAACACAATGCAGTGTATTCTCTGGGATAAATTTCTGTCATTCTTTGACTTTAAACAATCTCTTTCTCACTAAATGTGGAAAAGAAGGGAAGAGAAAGGAAGAACTGGGAAGAGCTTACCATTAAATTCCGCAGGATGTTCTGGAACAGGTAGAAGAGGGAAAACTTAATGCTGTTCATGCCAACTATGTTAGATGCATTTGGCAGTTGTATCTTTTCTAATTTATATGTGCATCCATGCATGCCTATACCTGTTTATAGGCATTACATATGTTCCAGTTGTTTCCAGCAAAAGGTCACATAAAAGTAACCAAAGATATGCCCAGCAAATACAACAGAATTTATTTATTTATTTATTTATTTTATTCCATCCTGTGGGTATCTAAAACAGAAGGTACTAATAATTTAATTCCAAGCTCCTAGTTTATGGAAAAATTCTCTCTCTTTTTTTTTTTTTTTTCAATTATATGAAAATTAGTCCTGAATTTGTTCTGATTCCAGGGCCATCTTCACTTTATCAACAGTACAGAGACATTCAGAAATAAGATATTTCATGTGGGTGGGTTTTAACCTGAACTATATTCCAGGTGAAGTTTCCTTGTTTGGAAAGCTGTTTTAAAATAAATTTGAAAACATGGTAAGATGAAAGATCACTGGATAACAAAGCTATTAGCTTACTAAATCTGTGGTAAGTTTTCCACTGACTTCTTGTGATACTAGATTTTTGTCCTGGAACTGGATGAATCTTAGGCATTAAAAATCTGTGCAACTTTAGTCTCCTTATATTTGCATTAAAGAGAAAATGAATTTGTAGTTTATATTGTTCAGTTTATAGCTTCAGAGACTTTTCAGCATAATATAGATGCAGACACATATTAAAAACAGACCCTGCTTCTTTCTTGTCTCTCAAGCCTGCTCTGAATTGTAGCTTCCCTTGAGCAATTGTGTGTGTGACTAGGACTGGCCTCACAGACCCGAAGCTATTTCTGTATCCAGCTCCTTCCCTTCCTTCAGTTTGCTCCTTATCCTACACACTAATGGACACACTACTAGTGGAAAACTGGAAATTTTGATTTTCAAAATCTCCTAAATAATTTGAGGGTTGGCTTACTGCAAACCCGTTCTTAATCTGTCTTAACTATTTTGTTCATATCTGTTTTTTCTAAGATACCACTCTCTCTAGTCATAATAAACAACCGATCATTCTGAGCAGAACTGTGAGAAGGGTCTTGCAAAGTAAATAAATAATCCTAAATAAAAAATATCCCAATCTAGGAATGTAGAATTGCACCACTGGCATTCTGGAAGGCTGAAGTTTTTTATAGACAGTACCATATGCTAGAGAATAGAAGAGACTCATGGGTATTTTGATGAAAGCAGGGAATTTGCCTTTGGGAAGTTTTCATGTGTTTGTGGAAAATCACAAGCTTCCCATCATTTTCAGGCATCTGTGATTTTTTTTTCCTTTTTTTTTTTTTTTTTTTTTGTAACATATGGAACTGCCACTTCAAAACATGCCCTTGCCTCACTATGAAATCTATATTTCATTTCTCTAATCTTCTATGGCAGCCAGAGAGAAAATATATTAAAAATCGTATTGCATTTGTTGCATAGTTAAAGGGATAGATCGAGCTTCTTGCTTTGCAACTTCAAACTTGAGGTTTCCTCATCCATGAAATAAAAATGGCTGGTAAGCATTGCTTTTCTGCTGCATTAGTTACCATGTCATGTGCTTAAAAACCAGCTAACATCAGAACTCGAAGAACAAAGGAACAAAGTTTCATCTGTCCAGGCTTTTGGATACAAATGTCAGCATCAAAAGCCCGGGAAGAGATGTGGAGAAAAGAAGAATCTGTTCTGTGATTTCAGAATATTTTATGGTGTATGGCAGAACTAGCCTTCCTCTGACTCCATTGTGTTGTGTATAGGTTATCCTTGAGCAATTTACATTATAATCATGCTGCACAAAAGGGTTCAGATATGAAATATGAGGGAAAAAAATGTTTCCAGGTGGAAAATATTACTGATGCCAATATGCATTATAACCGCCAGGACAATGTCCCACTTATCAAATAATATTTAAAAACAGTTTGAGGAATGATTTACTTTGAGTTCATTATAGAGCTCTGAAGATCTCTATATTTTTAGTTCACATGGAAAATAAAGAGAAACGTCCTTCCCTCAATCTCAGCAATTCCTAAGTCACAGAGAACCTGCTACCATTATATATGCTATAAATATACGTAAAATTCTGGAATGATTACTAGTGCTTTTTCAAAAGGCCTTCAGCCCCTTGACAGTTTTCAGATGAAAATCCAAACTCATTTACAGTGTAAGCACACTTCTCAGCAAATACACGCTTGGAAAAAATTATGGTTCTCCTTCCATGCTCCCTTTCCATTTGCAGGACACAACTTAGCATCTAAACTCTCCTAAATTATAAGACTTCAAACATTGGGAACTCCAGAGGAGAGACATGGAGATTGCCTTATATTGTTTCTCACATTCTGCCTGCCTACACCATTACCAAGGTAGTTTAGTTTGCCATTACCTACGTACCATACTAAAGAAAAGTGGCCATTAAAAATATACCAGAGCGAACTTTCTAAGTCATTACTTTGGTTTACTCACTGACATCAAAACATACTTGTCTGTAAAACAAAACAAAACAAAAACTACTTGTGAAGTGTTACACCCACCTTATTTTTACCGGGCTTATTCTTTGAACATTTCAAACTGGAACACTGAATCACTCATGGTTAACTCCATACAAATAATTTCAGAGAAATAAATGGGTATAACAAGGTTGAGCATGTGTAGAATTATTTGCAGGCTCTTCTCACTCACTAGTTCGTAATGAGTCATCTTCATTATGCGCAGAGAAATGCTACTGCTGGCAGAGTTTTGAAAGTACCTACAAGAATTCATTTTTGCTATTCAGGCTTAACATGCATAGCTCAGTCTTTGAACACACTGGGATGTTTATATAGCTGCACACATAATATGCTGAGACAAGGTAAATCCCCACTTTTCTTTCTTGTCTTTCAGGTATTTTCAGTGGTTTCTTTGTGTGTTTGTCATTCTATTTGAATTTTGCAATCCTAATTCTCAAAACCAGCTGAAGAGTAAACAGAGAGGCTTTGTGACATGAAAAAAGAGGCAGATGAACAATAGACAGCAAATAACGCAAGCTTCTTTTGCATCTCTTCCTTCAAACAAAATAAATTTAGAATAAAAGCTTTTCTTAGAAAAAAAAATTGAAATGGCAAGGAAAAAAGTCTTCAATACTGAAATAATTTTAAATACCTAAGAAGAGTCATTCATTATTTTTGGTACATACTCAAACCACTTCATCAAAGCTTTCCATTTTTTTTGCTTAATGTCTGTGTGAATTACCTGACTATTTCTAGCCAATAGCTGCTGGAAAGGCATCCCAATGGCTCCTATCTCTGGCACTGAAGTCCATCTTGGGGTCTCCTGTCCAGATCCTCCTGGGGTTCTCTGGAAATAAAAGTAACACTAAGTACATTGTGTACTTTCTTTCTGTTTCTCTCTAGATGGCAGCATTTGCCTTAAGGACTTCCCTCTAGAACATTTCTCATACAGGAGTAACAATAAGAGCTCAAGAAAAATATTGTGAGGGACTGGAAATTCTTTGCCTTTTTTTTTTTTTTTTTTTTTTTTGTGGGAGCATGCATAACTCTTCACATTGATAACTGAAGTTGTTTTAGCATAAAGAGTGAAAAACTGAATACCCCAATGCAATAGCATTGTACATAATCAAAATCCACAGGGAGTTCACTTAGCAGAATAACATGCACAGACCACGTAAAATAAATTAAATTGACATGGAATAAAACTATTGAATTGAAAACTTCCCACAAATTCAAATCACATCTGACAGCTTTTACAGCCTGAAAACAATTGGGTTACCCTTACTTTCAATTTCTGAACTCTGTATATGATTTGGTATGATTCAATAAGTTGAAAAATCCTGTTCTTGCATACTCCTGATGTTCATACAGACCCTGGAAGAACCAGATTTACAAAAGACTGATTTAATGAGGCTGATTTCTAGGGAGAAATACACCTTCACTTTTTAAAACCAAAATTTGAACCACTCGATGTTTGCAATTCAGGAAAGCCCTGGTCACCTAACTCCATACGTTTAGGGGAGGATCTCAGTTCAGTTGCAATGCCCCATTGGTTTACAGAGGCTAAGCAGAGACCTCTGACTGCAGGCAGGGAGACCCAATTAAGATACAGTCTGCATTGTTGGGTAATTTATCATAACAGTTTGTATTATGTTCCTTTATCTCACATGCCCCATGGTGCTTTCTTATCATTAGAAATATCTATATATTTTGATCGTTCTTACTGTACTCTTATCTTGTTTGTAATTCATGACTAGAGCCCTTACTTCTACTAAATAGTTACACTGAAAACTTCTTTATGCATTTGTGAGAGCATGAGGATGTGCTATCTCTAGCCTGCATGAAATGAATGAAAAAAAAAAAGTATTACTTAAAAAGAGAGAAATTAACATAAATTTTATCTTTTATTTTTTCCTCCCAAATAAAAAGTCTTCATAAAAAGAGAAACATATATTATTAGGGGCATACAACATACATTCTTGCTGGCTTGTAAGCAGTCATAGCTGCATTATTACATTCCTCTAGTAAATTTGTTCATTTGTAGCCTTCCCTTGAAGGATAAGCTGCAATCCTATTTAGTCTGCATTTTTAGTGTAGCACCACATGCACTCAGAGTAGGAAAACAAAGCTATGAATTGAGGCAGACTCATTCCCTATTTACTGGTTTCCATGTACAGTCAGAACAACAACGCTACCAGATTATTCTTTCTCTCTAGCCTGTCCATCAGCCAGACCTCCACTTCCAGCTCTGTCTGTACTTCAAATCTTGTAAAAGTTTGAGACTTTTCTTAAATGAGCCCTATCTTCATTTTTGTCATGCTTCCACTCTCCACCTCCCACCAGTTTGCATTTCTCTCTTAGTCCCCTAAAACTTCTTGACTCTTAGTGTTTGACTGAGGCTGGCAAGCTGAGCCCCATGGATCCTTGGCTGTCACAGCCATGACATTATCCTGTTTAAGTTCTGCATGCCAGTCCCAACTGGAATGCATGTCTTAAAAGGGCTGCAATTTAAGGGGAGACATTGGTATTTCACTGCCTGTTATTAACAACGGAGGAAAGGAAGAATTTGTTAAAAGAAAAGAAACCCTCACGTATATAGTACAAACGGGCCAAGTGTTAACTCATCCTCATGGAGAAAAAAATATAAAGTAAAAGCATAAAAATTTAATGCTGTAGCAGTTTGATCCAGCCTCCCTATTTTATCTGCTTATCTCAGCCTCATCTGATGAATGCCTAGCCATTCAAGAATTTATTCTCTTCTCTCTCAGGAAACTTTCGTAATTATTTTTAAAAATAGCATTGTGGAGACTCGGTGGCCAAATGCCTATTGATCATGTGGAAAGATTCATTCTTCTTCTGACTTCAAAGACCACAGCGCTGTCCAAGGAACTAAAACTGGCAGCCAAAATACCAGGGGAGAAATAGATAGGGGTAAGAATAGAAAGATTGTATCTCAGAGCGAGAAAAAGAAACAACGATCTTCAAACTCTTCTCTTAAATTACCGCAAAGGTACAAAGCTACTGCAAGGTGCCAGACTTGTTGGAATAACTTTTGAAGATAATAAGAATTATTTGAACTGATGGTTTGTAGATCTACTTGAAAACCCCATCTGTAATGTTACAAAAGCAGCAGATCTTTCCTAAGTTGATAGGAACAGAGAAGTCATGTTTAATTTAATAATCAAGCAATCCATGGACATTAAAACAAATGGCATACTCCAGATACATTTTCAAAGAGGGCGGAAAAAGTCATCATATTGAAATCAGATGCCATGTGCATCACACATCATTTCTTCCTGTACCGTACTGCTCTCCTGTCCTGTTTTTTTCCAGCTTTAGAAAGCTGTTTCTGTTTCTTCTCCCTCGGTTGATATGATCCAGTTAAATCCAAGCTTTGGAGACACTTGCATGAAATATCAGTGATTACTTGATTTCTCAGCATATAAATCTAACTACAAAACTTACTATGTAGGACTCTGTTATGATGTAACTTTTCCTAAGCAACATTTTTGTCTCTGCTGCTATCTGCTCTGAGACTTGCATTAACATAATACTGTCAGAACTGATCTCCATATAACATATTAAGCAATTGTTTTCCCAGAACAACCTGATAAAGCAACAAAAGGATTAGGTGGGGCCTTTCAGCTTTTCAGTAAGCAGCTTCAATGCAAATTCAATTCCATGCAGATTTTATTTTCTAAAAATGAAGGCCACAAATAGCTTCTTGGATATGGCCTGCTTAGGGAGAAAGCTCTCTCTTTAGCTTGCCATTCTCCCAGCTTTCCAAAACATCTCTGCTGCTTCTCAGGACTTTGTCTGACACTTTTATACCAAGCACAAGTTCTTGTCCTTGACCACTTTCTTTCCACTGTGCCTGAGCCCCTGTGGCATGCGTGATCTGCAGGTGTGAGCAGAAAGTGGCTGGATCTGAGCAAGGCGTCAGCAGATAAGGGTGGGCAGCAGTGGCAGTAAGCAGCAGACGGTCTTCCTGATTTTTAGTTCAAGGCAGGTTCTTAAACTGGCTGAACTTACGAGAGTTGACACTATAACAAGTTAATCAGACTATGGACTCTCATCCCACGCCTGCCCAGTGCCAACCCATCCTCTCACAGCATGGGAGGCAGAGCTGTGCACTGGCCTTAACCATATTCCACTGTTGCATTTCACTTTGTCCAGATAACTAAGTCCTCTCTTCTGGGATTTCATTGCTGAAACCCTACCCTAGAATTAGCACATAGTCAGAGAAGACCTGCAGCAGAAGCTCTGATGAAGGCTTATTACTGAGGTTATTTTCTTGCACACATTGTTTGTGAGCTTATATTGTGCTTGTTAGCTTGCTAAGGAGAACACTGCAATGTGGCATTTTGAACGGCTGTTACATAATGTAGGTGTAAATGTTGGCGCACAACTTCGGGGCATCAGTTGACCATGTAGTCTCAAAGGAGGTTGTATAACCTCCTTAAGCTTGCAGGAGGACAAATATGAAAAAGGTACTAGATTGCAATGTCTGGGAATTGTGGGGTTCTGGTAATTAGAGCATAAGCAACATTAAAACAAATTCTAAACCCAGGAAGAATATTTGCCAAACTGATTCACGCAAACAACGCTGGTTACATTAATAAACTAAATATTTCCTAATCCACTTCATGCATATGAAACTCTCCTTCAAATCATTAAAATCAGAAATGATTTTCTATCAATATCCGTATATTGCTCTATGAAATTCATTTAAGAAAAAACTACAAAGGTGTTCTGCACGGCTTTTTAATCTTGCTTGTCAGTCCTTCCAGTAGCTTCAAATACTTGCAGTTAACTGGAACACTTTGAGAACTTTTATTACAACAAGGTACAATTAGTTGTTCAACACAGCCCTTATATTTACAGACATATGAAGCTGACGAGCTTTGTATGCAGCTGTATAATACATGCTTATACATGTAGAGAAAAGTGTAAAAGAGAAAGTCCAAGTAATTTTTTTCTTCTTATACAGTTTAAGTGAGAGAGCTTCAGAATAACCCTTTGTCCCCTGGAACACTTGGTACTGCACTAAAGCTGAAGACAGAGAATGGAGTTTGCAAAGCAGCTATGTAATGCACGGTCTTAAAATCAGCAATTGTTTGTGCGTATCGGTACACAGGACTGCAGTTTGCAGACAAGGCTCCGCGTCACAGGCAGATGTGAGTTTAACACTCTGTGATCTTTACCAGATGCTCTGAACTGGCTCTGATCTCGGACCTATGACAGTTTGGCCTATCCACTTTCAGATGTCACCAGCCTCCACTAGCAATTAAAGGATTGTCTTTCCTTGCAAATGTATGGTTTTTACATACTGTTTAGGTGACTGATCTTGACAGATCAAGAACTGATCTCACACTAGCGTATTTTCACTGGCTGAAATGGAACTCTTCGTGTTGTGAATGGTATACAGCTATTTAGCTATCAGCTGGGATTATATTCAATGCATATACTTCTTCATTTTGTCTAATTTTCTACTTCAGGTCTTTAAAACATTTATAGCATGTGAAACAACAACAACAAAAAATTATATCAAATATATATGTATGAAAGAATTATATGAAAGAAATCCTGAGCTTTAACAGAGTACAAACATGAAGCTGTTCTTTACCATTTGACTTTCTCAATCAGTAACATATAACTCTGACTTCTGCTGTATATGCCTAATTCGGTATTCGTATCATGGTCATCACTTAAAGTTAAGAACTCCACCACTCTTTTAAAGATTCCTTAAAGCCCAAAGATTTTTTTTTCCCCTACTTTTCACTTAATTAAATAGAAAAAAGAAAAGATAAATACATACTTCTTGACTGTTCTAAAACAAAATTATTG